CCAACGAATAGTGGGATTGACCGTCACATTATAACGCCCCCACGGCTGAAAGGGCGAGCATGTTTGGTATGACGGGGATTCGATTCCGCGACCCTCAGATTGCGAGTCGAGCGCCCTAACCACCTGGCCATGCCGGGCCTACTTCATGTAAAGAATTTTTGTGGTACAAAGCTACACCATGATATGTCGACTGCAAAATATCAAACTTCAGATATTAGCATTGTAAGTTTGAAAACTTACCCCAGAACCTACATGTAAAGGATGAAATGTGTAATAACTTCTGTCAGCTCATTTATGGATCCTTAAAGTGTATATATAAGTTCCATATAGTCTCACTGGTTATGAAACTAATGTTTAGTGTTTGCCCTATACTTTTTCCATTACTAGAAAATTATGTTCAACAAGGTTAAACTTTGCAAGCAATAAAAAAAAAAATTTTCCAAAAAACATGTTTATAGCTATGATTTACAGACACAGTACTTATATTTTTCTATAGTTGATGTCCATTTATGTATTTTATTTGCATGATTTTAGTTTTCTGTCAAAATTGTTTCGTCATTTTATAGTGTGTGCAGTTGTTTTCTTAATGCAAAGCTACCTGTCCACCACAGGGAATCAAACCCTGGAACTTAGCATTTTAAATCCATAAACTTACTGTTGACCCACCAAGGGACAAGTGTGGGTGTGATTTGTTTATTTAACAGCATAGGTTATATATATATATATTTATATATTTCAATTCTTCAATGCATAAATAAAATAATTTTCATAAACTCTACTTAAAGGCAACGTAAGGACGTCTCAGTAGTGACTTTATACGCATGGGGTTTACTTAGATTTAATAACAAATGCCATTAACTGACTTTCTTACAACACTTATTTTGTAGGTAGAGAGTAACTGATTAGTAGTGTGTAACTTGTAATAAGTCACAGAACATTATGTATTACCCTTAATATCTGCAACCAGCAGGAAAGAGCAACAATTACATGCCGTATGAGTATAATATTCCTTACTTATCCTATTTAAAAATCCTATTATATGAAAACAACAAAGGGTTGAAAACCCTTTACAAATTAATTTATACTTGACACATTTAATTTTTTTTTTTTGCCATAAAGCTATGGTGCTAGCCTTAAATCTGATATTAGTCCAGTGTTAGATTGTTTCTTACTTATTTATCTAACCTACTAAGCTGGGACTACTGTACCTTGAAATTTAGTGTTTGAACTTTTAACCGAGATCCAAAAAAAACCCAATCTGCTCATTCAAAAACAAAGGCCATAGTTATGTTCTCACACCTGAGAAGTAAGCTTCAATACTAGTATGAAATTTATCCTGTTGTGCCTTATTACCAACACATGATGCAGAACATCTATGTTTCATAGATACTGTTATTACCAGTAGAGGAGTCAGTAAGATGTTTACAGGCCAAATAAGCAAAACACAAACTAGCCAAAATGATTTGAGATACTGTGAACAAGTACAACAAACTAAGAAAAGTTTTTACATAAACTAACGCATAAAAGGGATAGCCGTAGTTTTTGAGAAAGGGGATTGAGCTTCTACTAAAGTTAGGACCGTTTTTTTTCTTGTATTTGTTTTAGTTTATCTTCATTTTTTAGTTTTTTTTTCTTTTTTATTTGTTCACGGTGTCCTAAAACTTTGGGGGTAGTTTTGTTTTGCTTATTTGTTGCGAACACACCAACATTCTGGTTTCATTTTCTTGTAATGTTTCCAACCACCATGTCTTTTTTTTTTTCTGTCCCAAGTTGCTTCAAAATTGTAGTCTTAATACTTTTAGTACAAAATTACCCATTATCTGGCATTAACTTATTGAAAATTACTTGGAAATTGAAATTACAGAGTATCATGCCAATGTTTAGTGAACAGCATTTTTGTCTGTCTGAAACATACTACACTATATTAAAGGTAAAATTATTAAGCCATATTAGAGCATTGCTTACCAGAACATAATGATGGGAAGTGAGCCACATTTTAGTAAGTATCACTTACCTCTTCTACAATTTAAATCATTCAATCACAATTTACCACATCAAGAATTTTCATATAATTCACTAACCTCTGTTTTATATTTGTTTTACTATATATATATCACTTGTTGCATCTAATTTAACATTGAAGATGTCACTACCCACATACAGTTAATCTTATTGTCAGTTGGCATGAAACGAGACATTTTTCTTAATGCTTACAAGCAAAACAGTAATAGGATACACATCAATTTTGAATATAATTAACTACTGTTTATCGAAAGTATCACTTTGTCCAGAATATATATGATTTCTCAAATTCTGGAAATTAAAAGAATTTTACTATTTCAGTGAGTTGTTTTCTGACAAAAAAAAAAAACATAGAAGATTAGCTAAATTTTTCAACCCTTCTTACACTGTTTAAAGTATGTAAAAATCATCAATTAACCCTGTGTATTTTATGTACAATTTTAAAATGTAAACGTTACATCTAAGTATACTAATTCATAATATTTTACTATATTTCTGACTCTAGTTAAATATGTGTACGAAACAACTACTTCTGATCAACCAAAAACTCGTCCCCATCTTGCACTTGGATAGAATACAGTTTCTTGCTGTTAAACTTCAGTTCCTCTGGTCCAAAGGCATGTGACATTTCTTTATCAATGTAGAACAGCCTGAGTTTCGAAGGCGACATGCTCAGTAGCTGGCCAATCTCAAACTTCAAGTCCTTTACTGTCTTCTCAACATGGATTTCTATAGTTTCTCGATGTTCCTGATAAACAATGTTCACTTTTACCTTCTTCTTAGGAGCTAGACTCACATTTACTAAAGGGTTCAGCTTTCCGTGCTTAGCTACCAGCTCGTAATATCTATAATAAAAAAAGTATAAAATAAGGGAGGTTCAACCATCTGAGTGACACACGTAACAAATATGAATGAAGATGGGGTGCTGAAGTTGGAGGTCCACGGTTGTAAAGACATTAGTTATATCAATCGTTAACTTTAATGATAAGTTTGGTTATTATATTGTCTAGACCGGTGTTTCCCAAATGCCAGTCCGTGGACTGGTACTGGTCCTTCACTTACGTTCTACCAGTCCACAACATGTCTTGGCTGTTGAAAGCACTGACACTTGATGACTAAAAGTCGCCTAAGTCTACATTTTTTTTTCTGTTTTCGAAATAAATGTTTTTGTAAATATCATATTATTTTACTTATGTAATTAATAGATATTTTACTTGGAATGTCGGTCCCTGAAAATGTTTTTGGAATTTTACTGGTCTAGACCTTGACAACAAACATACCCTCAAGTAACACTTTGCTTGTTTTGCTGGCTTTCGTTGCCACAGAGAGTCCAGACACATTTTAATTTGTAGATTACTAAAGGAAATAAATTAACATATTTTAAATATTTATTGTGTACCATTAAATGTTGGTTTTTCTTACTTGTTCAAATAGCACACAACTTTAGGTTTAAATACAACATGAAGGTGAAATGGCCTTAGCTTTGTCACATACTAAACAAATAACAATTTTCAGCTTATTATGGAATTTAGGCACTCACTTCTCTATATGGAAAATGTGCAAGTTTTGCATCTTTTCTTCTGGGTGGTGCCGGCATTACAAGTTGACAGAGAGCCAACCTACTTTGGCTAATTAACTAGAAATAATAATGGCAAAGAGCACAGTCATGAATGCAAGGCGGGGATCAACAGTAACTGTCATGATTTATTTTTCTTGTACATATTCCTAGAAATCGATTAAAAGGTACCTGAATTGGTTCACAAATTTAACTTATCTAAAATTAAAACAGCCAGTCAAAAAAAAAGAATGGTTTACTGTATCACGAGGGCTTTTTCATTCTGAACAGTTATATAATACCAAAAATGTTTTAAACAATGCATAAGTAAACATCACACACACTTATACCTTTTGGGCTTGTCATTTCTGTCCAAATAAAAACGGATGAATGCTCTTTCTGCATCTTCTCTTTCCTTCTCCGGAATTGGGCTTCCGTTTAATCTCTTGGCACAAGACAATCTAGCTATCAGGTGTTGTCTTCTTTCTTTCTCAGTGAATTCCTTTATGTTAAACAAAAAATGTCTAAAGGTCCCCTACCAGCAAAATAACCTTTGAGTTGAACTCTTTTATTGTAAGAATTATGGTTTTCTTCAACGTAAACCACATTTACTCTGCACAAATATTCTACAAATCACATACTTATTAAAAAATTTCTATTTTACTATTTCCTTCCTATTTAAATATCAGAAGCTGTAAAATATAACCTGTAACTGAAGTTGAAAATCAGCTATAAAAATGGCAAATCATCATCCACTTATTGAAAGAGGAGTCAGCAACAAAGTCTTAAGTGATGATAAATAGATATTAGATCACAAAAATGTTTCTTCAAATCTGAAAAATAACTAGAATTTGCCAAAGATAACCATTCTCAGTTGATGGATAGAAAAAATGCAGGATAAACTAAGGTAAAAAGTGGGGGTACTAATAAATAATGCATGTTTTCAGAGAAATATTGTAAGTTATATTGCAAGTGAAGGCAGATGATACATTTTTATCTTTTAATCTCCATGTATTAGAAGTTTATAAACTGGCCTACAACTATGATTCACATTTTTGAATAAACTAATGGCAGGCTCAAAAAATACCAAAAAAATCTAGATATAAAGTCAGAAAAGGGAATCAAGCATAAGTGAGTTACTGCAACAGTTATGGAGTGTAAACTGTCGTTTGTAGTTGGAATTTATTAACCTAGGCCTTATATAAGTTTTTAAAAACTCTTGTAAACCTCTATTTTCACTTTTCTTAAGTTACTTTTACACCATAAAAGTAGAAATGATGCTTTACATCACAAAAACAAAACTGTATTCAGTCATGCATTCACTTTGGTATAAAAACATTAGTGGACCTCTTTTTCTCTAAAACTAATCATTAATTACTGCTTTTAAGCAACTCTCTCTTTCATGACACACAAAACATACAATAAACCTTTCAACTGTAGCCAAATAAAACTTTGAGAGATCTTCTAGAATTACCAAGTACAGCTTGTATTGTAAAATACAATGTTTGGTCATCTTTATAAAGAATTACCTAATTAAAGAAATATGCTTTAATAATTATGTGTTATAAGTATCCAATATTGTCACTAACTTATATTCAATTCTTTTTTTTTTAAAGTTAATTTAATAAACAGTATCAATTATAATGTTTAATATATGCACATACATTTATATCTATTTTACACTTATGAAGATCATTTTGTACTGTTTGCTCGGCATATCGATTTACAACTAACCTAAATCTCATAAGAATTATTTGGGAGCATGTCCAAGAATATCAGTAACAGTGATGGTCTTCCACTGATGAATCAATGTATAATGTCTGTTCATGCATTTTAATAATGACCCTGCAACACTGTTCCATTATAAAAGGCAATGTTGCAAGGCAGCCATAATCAAAGTACATCACTCCTCCCTGAATGTTTTTCATAAGCCATCTAGTGTATGAGGATGACAGTTTCCCAGTGGATGTTCCAGGAGTCCATTTACACAGAAATCCATAGGTGCTGGGTCTGGCAACTTGATTGATGTGTCTTTGTATGGAATAGAATGAATAGCTTTTCATTCTTCAGCTGCTTGAGGTATGTAACAGTTAACTGAAAAGTATATCTTGGTGAATCTACAACCTGTTGGCTCTGTTTTAAGATTGAGATTCTTCTTGATTACACTGTGTACTGTTGCCTGGGGAACATGAATTAATTTTTGTGTTTGTGGATTCTCATAGATTGAAAGACACAGCACCTTGCTTACAATGGCTGGAGTATGACTTGTTGCAGGTCTATTTCTGGAGGGTTCTGGTGCCCCAAGTTGATCCATACTCCTTTATTTTCCAATGCCATGAAGTGCAAGGAATATTCCCATCTTGGATATTCTAAATCTTCAATATGGACACATATTTACTTTCTGAGTATCTGAATATTTTGTCAGAAAGGGCTCTTACATACCCTTCCCAAAAACTATCAATTTTAAGTAGCATCACTCAACCTACAAAATGCCAATGTCAAAATGTTATTCTATTACATGCAGTTCCACTTCAATTTTATGTTGACTTTGTTTGTCACATCACTTGCTGATTTGTATATTCAAAATCATTCTAATATAAAATATTCAACCTCTGTACTCCTAATTAAACCAGTATATAAAATTAGCTACATTATTTACCAAGTTACTATTTTGATAAATGTAGTTAGCTTACAATTTGATAACTGAATATGCATCTTTACACTCAGAAGTTTACCTCAAGTACTGGCAATCCCTGTAAACGGAAACTGTCTAGCTGTGGAAAGTTGTTGAGTCGATCGATATCTTCCCATTCTCTGAACTGCCCATTGTTCAGGTTAATGCTATGTAGCTTCCTGAAGTGATCTGACCAATGAAAAGAGTCAGGAACAGACTCTAATGAAGAGTCAGCCATGATAAGCTTTTCTAGGTTGGGAAAGCAAGTTGCTATGTGTTTTAGATGATCCCACGAGTCAATCGGATTACCACTGATATGAAACTGCTTGACACTTGGATAATCTTTGTCTGGGTCAAATCCAACACTGGCATAGTCATTAAGACTTAAGTAAAGCTCCTCAAGCCTAGTTAAATGCAATTACAAAAAAAAACATCATTAATAGAAAAGAAGTTTTTCTAAACTTTTCTGCAGTAGAATAGTCTATAACTTAGAATATCAGTGAGATTTCATATGATATTACTACTGTGAACACAATGTGGCTAAATCTTAAATAGCAACACACTGGCCTTATAATCAGACTTGAACAGAAGTGGTTTGAACTAAGATTACTTTAAAAAATATCTTAATAGAAATCTGGACACAATCAAAATTGATTAATACAAGTTTGCATAGGGACTACAACAGAACCCTTAGAAGATTGTAGAGGAAAAGAATACTGTACAGAATGACCATTCCTCTCATATAGAGTGAGAATTGTATATTTTAATATTAATAAAAATGCCTAAACAAGTTAATAGAATAGTTCATTGTGCCCAAAATACTAAAAAAGCAAAAAATTAAGTAAATCATAATTGAACAGCTCCAAGAATTCAAGAGGTTTTTAAAAGCTAATAATTTGTCCTAGATGATCTCTCACAAAGGAAGTACTACCTTTTTAAAAACATTTGGGTTGTGAAGACTTTTTAGTTGTAGTTTAACATGGGTAAATTTTGACGGAAAAAGCAAGAAACCTTACAAGTTTACCATGCTATTAAAAATAAGAAAACACAACAATGTTTCATTGTCTCTCTCACACATACACTAATAAGATTAAATAACCATCTGCGTGATTTTTTTGTCATTTGATGTTTGCACAAAAGTCTCATATGTTTAACTTCTCATAGTTGAATTAAAGAATTTATATAGGGTGATATATTTTACTATACAATAAGTTCAACAGAATACATGCATTACGTAATTTGAACATTTTGTTGTTCAGACCAGTACACACATTTTTACATAAATATATTAAGCTAACATTGAAATTTCACACACAGAAAAGGGAATAAAAGACAAAAAACGCAAATAAGTCTATAACTTTGTAAAATTTACAACACATCCTAGGGACAGATCCAGGTTTTGAGGTATGAAAGAAATAATACTTGCTGACTTGACTTCAGATTACTTTATGTTAAAAAGTACTTTGGAAAAAACCCGCACTAAAGGGTTTGTCAGAAATAAGTGCTGGATCCAAACCAGTACATATACACTTTTTAGAAGCTGGAAACATTTTACTATTCATACTTACCTAAAGAAAGGTGCCAGCTCCTAAAAACGTGAGACTCTCCTTATTATCACAACAAGTAGTGGCTGTTTTGTTGTGACAAAGCTGATTTGTTTTAGTTTTTTTTTATGAATGGTACCATACGTTTCAGTTAACCAAATATTCAATACAACTACTAAACAATGGAACATTTCCACTTCTGACAGAATCTACGAAGGTTATAGGGAAGGCACTTTTAAATGGTTTTAACTGAACTCTCTTTGAGCAGATCTTTTCAAACATCTAATCTACTTATTCCCAATATATTTACAACATAAACTTGTTACCCTTTCTTTACTATAATGTATAGAAGCATAATACTTTACAGATAAATCAGTTACATAATGACGGACTTTACAGTACTGCTAGCTGGCAGTTAACCACAACATTAAATTCAAATGTCAGTGATGCTAAATTTACAAAATAAAAATAGCACAATTAAGTTAATTAATAAAAAATGTTTTTATAAAATATATTATTATTATTTACATATGATAAAAATTTTCATAACACTAAACATCTCATCCCCTGATCACAACCATCTCAGAGTAATTTAATTCCCAAATCTTAAAATGCAGTTACAGAAACTATATTAGAGTATTAAAAAAGCAAAAAAAAATCTTTATGAGACACACTTATTGCTAGTGTTGTTGCTTACAATATAATAAACTTATTGAAAATACAGCCCACATTGTTTTGAAAAATATAACTACTAATGATTTTTAAAACCATACTTTGGTAAACATCTCAAAAAACTGTTGACCACATGCCAGGGAGCATAGGTATGGTTTAACACAAGACTGGTGATACAAAGGTCTGCTTCCATCTCCAATGGCTTAGCTTCTGACAAGTCATTGTGACTGAGATTTAGGAACCATAGCTTAGGCATGTGGGAAATAATTTTTTCAATCTGAAAAACAAAGTAGACAAATTTACATCTGATCAATTTTTCTTGCATTCATGAACAAAGAACTACTTTTTAAATTAAATTAAAGTAAAGGAATTGCTTTTAAAATGTTTTTACAAATACAAGGAAGTTTTGCAAAACATATTATTGTTTCTAATACTTAGATAATATAGGTTTATCAATGTACAACAATAAGGCTAGTGTAAGTTAAACAAACATACAATGGCTAAAATAAAAAATTCATAAAGGCATTCCTAGATATCAGCAACAGAGAAACATTGGGAAAAACAAGGACTGTTGATACATATAAATAAAAGAATGACACCATGCAAGTAATATACAGAACAAGCATACCACAATACCTATTAGAGTTTGTCATGAAAACAGGCCGTAAAGTGGAATACAGAAGGGGGGATAAAATTTCATGATATTCAAGATATAATATGTGAAAATTTTATAATAAACACTGAAGAATTCAAGATTTTACAAAAAACTACTTTTCATACAAAAATACAGCCTTGTAGCTTTAAAGCTGTGTAAATAGTGTTGATGGTTTACATCAACCACATTTTTGTGAAACTTATACATCACAATGTTTAGCATATAATTCCACAATTATTAATTGTGTCTTCACAAAATTTTAGTAAACACTACAAGTATATTGTACATCAAAAATCAGGATTTTTTAATAAAGTATTTCTATAAAAGATTTAACTGTGGAATCACTGAATCACCCTGACACAGAATCTGAGTAATCTGAGTGAAGGTGATTTTCATATTTCATTTACATAACGTCTAGAAACTTCTAAATGAATATAAAAAGTTTGTTTTCGGTAAAACTTTATATTTTACTCTAACACTAATTATAGAAAAAATGGCGATGTAGGGTAAAATGAAAACTTGAAATATACAAAATAAATATAAATTATCTTTTTTGTTCTTTCTAGAATGACTTAATATTGTACCGTACAATTATGCACTATTTAGTGTAATAGCCAAAGCTATTACTTTTAAAATCTCAGCATCATTTAGATTTAATGCTTTAGAAGTGCACTTATAGTACAGTGAAAATGATTTATCACAGCGGGGCAGCATTGTATAAACAAAAAATTGTGTTACCAGCAAACATGAATTACACAATCATCCCTTGCAATGTGCATATGTTCGAGTAATTTTTTTTCATTTAATATTTTTTATTTAACCTAGTAAATTTTTAATTATTACATTTCAGTTACTTTTATATTAATAAATAAAATACATATATAAAAAAACAAGAGATTTAATACTTATGTGTGGGCACTTGTACATTTTCAAGTTTATGCACTCAAAGTCTCAACAAAACTTAACCATATGTTTGATAGAATTGTTGGCAGTACAAAAAGTATGATTTATCTACTTCAAATATGCATTTTAAAACACAAAAAAATACAAGATGTCTTAAAACTAATCTTTAAATGAGTTAAAACAATTTCATTAGCAGGTTGAGGTTATCTCAACGAGAACAAACAATGAAATTGATGACTAGATTTCCACATTGACTTAAAATGTATCCTGAGGTCAGAAGGATTTCCAGAAAAAAAAACAATATCTTGGGATTTTCATTTCCAATAAAAAGTACATTTCTTCTGAAGAGTCATAGTCGAAAATGAAAACAAAACACAAAAAAACAAGAAAAATTTCTTTAAAACTTTTTTTTTTGGTCAAGCATATAAATCAAGATACTTGCACAAGGGTGGTTATGGCCCTTTTTTTTTCCATTTCTTGATACATGTTAATAATCTCACTATGGTCAAGCATATAAATCAAGATACTTGCACAAGGGTGGTTATGGTCCCTTTTTTTTTCCATTTCTTGATACATGTTAATAATCTCACTAAGTTCTGACATATCAAAAATTATTGAAGTTTGAATATTTGAAAGTATATTTCTATTTAAGAAACATGCCAATAAAAATTGCACTTGATTGAACTTTGGACATAATTTTGACTAACAACATGAAAAACATAATAATAAGGGAATTTAAGCAAAAATAATTATCTGACTAGAAAAATACCAACAGTTTACATGAACAGGATAGTGAAATAATATTCACTCAAAGAATTATCTTTAGATTCAAAAAATAGAGAAGCTTCGTCCTTGTTAAATGTTGTTATATCAAAAAGCCTAATGAACATGTAGACAAAAACATAACAGTAAGATAAGTTGAAATAATATTTCTTAACAGTAAAATTTAACAATGCACAACAGTATTTTTATATACAAAGCTAAAAAATTAATTTAAATGAACTGATATACATGTGATGTAATTTAAAAAATGGCCATGATAAAAGTATAGAAAAGGTCACAGAAAGAGAATATCATATGATCACAAGTTTACACTTAAACACAAAAACCAAAACGAAATGTTGCCCTTCATATCCATACAATAAAAATTTTAATAAATTAGGTCAACAGCACACACATTTATTACTAAAATAGGACTAATTGTCATAAAGAACATGTTTGAATCTAGGCTTCAATGTTTAGACTTATCACATGTTCCTCTAAGTTTCCCAACCGTTTTTGTGTCAAGTCATGAAAAATTGGTAACATAAAGTTCATTTTATTGGTATTTCATACAATACTTTTCATTGTAATATGTCCTTTTTTTTTAATGAAGTTGGTCTGTGATTTTGGAAAATAAAGTTAATATGAAGTTTCAGAAATAGATCTATACTTCAGTATAAACTGTTGTAAACCTGGTCACTTGGTAGTTGAACTCTCCAGGAAGAACATAATACCCATTGCATCAAGAGTGATAGATCTGTGTGTAAAAAGAATAAAAAAGTCATAGACACTTTGCAAAACGTCTCGGCAAACTATGGAAAACTTGGGAAAGTTTTCTGCTTTTGCAGTAGATACTTTGTTTATTAGAAATTTAAAACTAACATGGATATTGTAAACTAATTGTAGACTAATGAGGCTTCATTTAGAATACTGTGTGCAGGCTTAGTGTTACTACAATAAAGATATGAGCATCTTGAAAAGAAGGCATATTTATATAGGTTAGCTATTAGTGATACCTGGTTTCAAATTTAAAATGTTTCAGCTGGAAAGAAGCTTTAATGATTTGGACGTATTCATTCTAGATAATAGAAAATAGGTTCTTCAGTTGAATTGATTCTGGTGCATAAATTATCACGCTTGTGTGGTACTTATGTGTGGTTTATTTTGTTGGTGAAATGAAAAGGTTGAAAATAAAAAACTTACCTTTTCATGGCAACAAAAAAACATGACTTTTCCAGGATTCCTACAACTTTCAAACTAGTAGACCCTAATAAATCCATTCTTAAAACTCTACAAGATCTATTCACCAATACAGATAGAGGCTTCAGGATTTTGTTTTTCAATAATCAGACCCAAATCCTCCTTTTTTTTACCCTTATTTATGGTATTGTTACAGATGAAATAAGTACTTCCAATACCCAATGATTTTTTTTATGATGCCTAAAGCACATTCAAGCCCCGTTTCTGGTGAGCAGTTAAACGCTTGGGAAATACTCTATTACCAGGAAGAAATTAAACTGAAATTTCAAAAAATCAAAAATGACAGTAAAAAAAATGAGCTGAAACCTTGCCAATTTAAAAAGGCATGCAAACCTGCTGTTCAAGTATTGTAAGCTATTCATGACCTCTATGATCACTTTGTATGAAAACTAAAATATGACTCATGAATGTGAATTCACAAGAAAAAGATTTTCTTTTTTTCCCTATTGACAGAAAAAGGAAAACTTACATTTTAAACTACAGTTGCTAAGTGTAATTCTAGTATATTTTTCACAATAAATAGCTCTTTCCCACAAACTAAATTATTTTATATAGATCTTAAAACATTTTGTTAACTATGCATAGAATGCTATCCCTACTTACACAGAAATATTTCTAACAGAATTACCATTATACTATTCAACAAAAGTCCCCATTTTTTCTATATTTTGTTTAAAAAAAGAGTCAGACTTTGACTCATACTGCCCAATACAGTGCTGTCATTTTCAAAACTGAGTAAACCTAATACTAGAATGTCTTGCACTCATTTTATCACAGTGTTTGGCAGCTAAATAAAAGAACATATTTAAGTACTCAAAACAATATTTATATCAGTTTAGAATTATATATCTTGATGTAGTGATCAAACAAATGTATGGCTGAAACTTTTAATAATGCAACAAATTGATGTCTTTTGAATGATCATCAATATATAATGTAAAACTATTATAATCTTGTGCAATCCTGAATACAAGAACAGAATTAACATGAAGATTCAAATATCTGAAAACATACTAAGCTGTAACAATTATAAAAAAACAACTAACATTTGAGGCAACAACATTCAGTTCACCATACTAGAATGTGAAACTTTTATTAATGAGTGAATTTTGTAACAATTCATTTTGCTAAGGTGTATAAACAAAACTTTTTGTACCAAACAAACAGACCTCCAAAAATAAGTTTTTATAGGTTTTTCCACATACTTTCTTTGGCAAACAACTAATTGTCCAACATCAACCCTCATAAAATCAATATTATTGGAACAAAAATAGGTTTCTTAAGTTTTCTCAAAGAATATTTACCAAATCATCAGATTTTTGTTATAGCTTCTATTTAACCTTAGAGTGAAGAACTTTATCCTTTATCCAAAATCCTGTTTTAATCCAAATTGACTGGAAAATAAATACAGGTTTGACAGATCATATTCTCAAAACAATATGGCAACTTTCTATATATATATATATATATATATAAGCTTTAACAGATTTTATGGGTTCATTGGCAGCCCTTATCAAATCAACATTACAATGAATGCTAAAATATATGTCTTACCGTAGAAGTAGGAATTGTACTAACCTCTGAAGTGTCAGTGAACTCATTCTGTGCCAGGTCAAGTTCTTCAACATCTTTACAAAGATCTTCAATAACATGAGTTGATCCTGCACTATCTATATTACAATCATTAAGTGTTAAAATTTTGGGCAGGATTAATCTACCGCTTGGGCTGGCCCGACCGGGATAACTCCCGACGAGAAAAATTTCAAAACCAGGCCCACCAATTTCTTCTGAAATTTCTTCTCCATATTTTGTATAAAGCACATCAGTGAAGGAGCAACAAGACATTGCTGTTTTCCTGTCAGAAGAAAATTAATAAAAACATTTTATTATTACTGAAGTATTCTAAGTCCAAAAAATTTTTTTTTAAATGTGTTTTCTAACCCCACAACAAATAACCTCTAATCCAGTCATGTAGAACTCTTGTTTAATAAATTTTTTCACAGATAAAAATATGGGTGTCACATTTTTATGAGAATGATAACAGGCAAATGAGAATATTATTGCCTAGATGAGGCACTTTAATAGCATTAAACACCACATCATTTCATTACTCCAATGCTTCTCTATGATAATAAGAAAAAACTATTTCCAAATCTTTAACAGTTTTTCTGTAATATCAAATATACTCTCCAGACTAGCGTATATTTGCCTCGGCAGGCACTCAAATAGAACCAAATGCCACATCATATGTCTCTTCGCTACTCCAGTCCTAACTTACAATAACAAAGAGGAATTATATTGCAAAACTATTAAAAAATTTCTATAATACCAAAAACCAATCCACACTGATGTGTTTGTGCTTGTATGAACTATTCAGATGCTATTCAATTACTCCAATTCTCCCCTAGGTATATTGTCAAATTGCATATAACAACTTTTATGGTGTGAACTAAAATATTTTAATAAAGTGTATGGACTATTCAGATGCTATTCAATTACTCCAATTCTCCCCTAGGTATATTGTCAAATTGCATAAAACAACTTTTATGGTGTGAACTCGATTATTTTAGTAAAGTGTAAGTTTTATCAATTTTGTACGAATCATTTACAAATCAGTATTAGAGTAAGTTTTTCATACAAAACTCTTACAGGGCTATATTCTTTTATCTTTATTTATTTAACTTTATTGTTGATAAATGTGAGATAAGAACTATATAGTGAGGTTCTTCCTTCATAATCATCCAACTTTATTGTTGATAAATGTGAGATAAGGACTATATAGCGAGGTTCTTCCCTCATAATCATCCAACTTTATTGTTGATAAATGTGAGATAAGGATTATATAGCGAGGTTCTTCCCTCATAATCATCCAACTTTATTGTTGATAAATGAGAGATAAGGAATATATAGTGAGATTCTTCCCTTATAATCATCCAACTTTATTGTTGATAAAATGAGAGATAAAGACTATATAGTGAGGTTCTTCCCTTATAATCATCCAACTTTATTGTTGATAAATGTGAGATAAGGAATATATAGTGAGGTTCTTCCCTTATAATCATCCAACTTTATTGTTGATAAATGAGAGATAAGGACTATAGAGTGAGGTTCTTCCCTCATAATCATCCAACTTTATTGTTGAAAAAATGTGAGATAAGGACTATGTAGTGAGGTTCTTCTTTCGTAATCATCCAACCTTATTGTTGATAAATGTGAGATAATGACTATATAGCGAGGTTCTTCCCTCATAATCATCCAACTTTATTTTTGATAAATGAGAGATAAGGAATATATAGCGAGGTTCTTCCCTCATAATCATCCAACTTTATTGTTGAAAAAGTAAAAAAACAAGGACTATAATAGTGAGTTTCTTCGTAATCATCCAACTTTATTGTTGAAAAAGTAAAAAAACAAGGACTATAATAGTGAGTTTCTTCCTTCGTAATCATCCAACTTTATTGTTGAAAAAGTAAAAAATAAGGACTATATAGTGAGGGTCTTCCCTCATAATCATCCAACTTTATTGTTGATAAATGTGAGATAAGGACTATATAGTGAGGTTCTTCCCTCATAATCATCCAACTTTATTGTTGATAAATGTGAGATAAGGACTATGTAGTGAGGTTCTTCCCTTATAATCATACAACTTTATTGTTGATAAATGTGAGATAAGGACTATGTAGTGAGGTTCTTC